ATGAATATTTTTAGCCCCCAAGTGCACAACCTTACATTTATCAACATTAAACCTCATTTGCCACATAGTTGTCCAATTAAACAGTCCACTGAGGTTAGCATGTAATTGCACCCTGTTCATGTAAACGGCTGCGGGTGTGCATGTTAAGTTAACAACACCCCAAAAGAGGTCCGCAAAATGCGGTGCGATGTGTAGAATCAGATCGCATTGCTGTGAATACCCATGTGATCCAATTCTCGTGTGGACCAAAAAACAGTTCCTGTGCGAATCACATGCGATATACGGCACCGCATATGTACTGTACTAATGGCACTGGGCAGGAAGGGGTTAACATGAGGGGTGATCAAAGGGTTAACTGTGTGCATGGAGTGTTTTACTATGGGAGCTATGTCAGTGTGCTTCACTGTAAGCACACTGCTTTGGATGGCTGTGCTGTGCACTGCCATATAAAGCAGTGTCCCTGAGCTGACAGGGAGGAGAACTGTTAGTAAATAAAACAGTTTTCCCCATCAGAGATCGTCGGAAATCACTGGGCGCCGGCAAGTAATCACCGGCCGGGGCCCAGTGATTGACAGCCATGGCTGCAAATGGTGGCACGGCTAGGGCACGCGCACCCCTTACCCGGAAATGCAAACTCACATAAATATACGTGATTTTGTGCACCCGTGCTGCCCTGTATTTCTGCTATAGGGTGGACGGGAAGACGTTAAGGACACGCAGAGGCTGCTCAGGAGTGAATATGCATGAGTGCACTTGGCAGTGGTAGGAGCCAAGAGTGCCAGCGGGGGACCCAGGAAACGGTTGATTGTGGTTGCACTGTGCAAAACCATTGCACAGAGCAGTTAAGTATAGCATGTTTATTAGTTAATAAAAAAAATTCTAAACCTTTAGTATTACTTTAAGATGTACATTTGCTTGTAAGAATTAATATGTTCAGTAGTTTTTGGATCCAGCATCCTGATCTGAAACAGCATTAAGACTTTCATGGACTTAGAAAGGATTTATGTCTGCTAATACTGGAAACAAGTAGTTGATGCAAATTAAGTATCCTAAATTAACCAGTAAAGGAGGAGGTAAAAGTATTTTAGCTGCTCACACAATGCTGAGTAGTGATTTCTAGAATGAAAATTGGGTAATATGGTAAATTAAGTGAAAAACAAATAGGAGAGAAAAACTCACCAAGTCACAATCCATCATTAGTAGAACTAGACTGATGATAACTGAAATCCACTTATGGACAACTTTCTAAAAAGCAAAGCAAGGAGGTGAAAAAAATAAAGTTGCCTAATCAGTCCATGGTTTCAGTAATTAATCCTTTCATGGCCAGAGGTCTAGATACCCAGTTTAAATTTAGCAGTGTAAGTATGTAAGCTAACCTGACATTAATTCTGTAACTAATTTCTTTTCTAAATAATCATACATTCATTTTCAGAACATATTTAGAACTTTTATTTAGTATGCCTAATTTCTGCTCACATTTTTCATTATAGGCTTACAAATACACAAAAAAAGTTTTTTGTTTTTTTCTTAATGCAGTTTGGTTATTTTATACTTAACAGTTTTAGTCAATGTTTGTAAGACGAACAACTTTTTTAATGCAATTATTCCTTTTACACATTCTAAAGTAGTGTCATAGCTGCAGCCTACCAGCTTCACCTGTCACTGTAGCTAAAGTCTGTAGATTTGGTTGTAAGTAAGCTTTATGTGCTCACCATCATTGACTATCATGGTGATCACATTGCTGAGATCCATGATCAAGGCTGCTGTTAGAAAATACGGGGCCATGAATGAACACAGTGAGTGATCAGTATTGATCACTCAATGTGTTCATTCAGGAAGGAAAGGGGATGGTAAATGTGACAAATTTACCAGACCCTTCCCACATTCTCCACGTTGAAGGATCCTACTGTGTGCTTGCAGTTGCCAATGGTAAGGAAAGGAGGGAAACCAGCAGCCCTGCGGCGGTGGGGGCACACAGGGAGGCCTGGGTAGCAGGCAGAAACGTATGGTGTACAGGGAGGGTTATGGTTGTGTGTGTGTGTGTGTGTGGGGGGGGGTGCAATTAGTGAAATGACCCCCTGTATGGCTCTCTATGCAGCAGCTGAAAGCCAGCGGGAGGGAGAGGAGAAGAAGCCAGATTTCAGCTGCTGCAGAGGGAGCCATACAGGGGGTCGGTTCCTGTAATTGCCCCCCTGCCTTTCTAATCACCCTCCCTGCCCACCACATCCAATTCACCCAGCTGATTGGGACCCACTGCTGGCCTGGGTCCCATACAGGAGGACTGGTAGTACCCCCTTATTCACGGCCCTGTCCATGATCAATGGTCACTGATTGTTAATGACAGAAAAATTCTGCCAGTTAGTGTATACACCTCTGCACACTCCTAGTTTTAAAATAAAATATATATAAATTTTTTTTGGCATGGGGCACCATGGGAATGCCAATCTACAGATTTCAGTCAAAAATGGATGAAAGATAATAGTCAGGGCTGTAGATTTAACTTATGTTTTAACCCTTTTGCTGCTAGGCCCTGTTCCCCACTCTTAACTTTAGGTGGCCAGATTATTTTTGCTCTTTTTCATTTTCTGTCAAGTTTCATTATCATTTGCTCACAGCACGGAAAGTTTCTAAAATACCCCTCAAATCATGCAGTTTCTAAAATCAAAGGACAAATGGAATAAAAATACGGTTCTGCTTTTTTGTATATCCTTAGATAGGTATACAAAACTTTATCAGACCATGTTTTCTGACCCCCAAAAAAAAAACAAAACAAAAAGAATAGCGAGTGCTTAGAGGTGAAAAGCTGCTAGCACTAAAAGGTAAACCAACCAAAAATAAATAAATATAAACAGAAAAGTTCAGCGCTGAAAAAAACAGTGTACAAAATTCATACTGCAAATGTGCTCAAGCAAATTAAGTAATGCACTATTACTGCATCCTACAAGGCAATAAATAGTAAATCATAAATAAATGATAATAATCCACCAAAAACAGTAATCAATTAATAAAATTAATAAAGAATAAAAATACAAATACAATTTAATACACCACTATAGTGCAAAAAAAGTGGCAGTGCAAAATTATAATTGTTCATAGAAAGTCCAAAGACAAAAATATTAAACGAGATATTCTTCATTACAAGTGTTTCACAATTATCATGCATCCAAAAAATGTCTGGTGAGTGCAACTCCTGCACCATTACACACTCACCAGAAAATAAAGAATATGCAGCTCAAACAGAAACCTCCAGTCAAACAGAACCTACACAGACCACTTTCACAAATGGATAGGAGAATTAGCTTTAAGTAAGCCCTATGAGGAAAGAGCTCAGCACACGGAGCCCATAATAGAGTACATAGTGTAGTAGTTTAATAGAACAATCAATCCACGTAGAATAAAAACATTTGCTGCCGGACTTACAAAGATGGCCGCCAGCCCAGCACGAACTCGGCAGCATGATGTCAGCACGTATGGTCCCTCCCAACGTGTTTCATGTACAAGCATGTCTTCACAGGGATATGCCTGCCATGTTTTCTATTAACACAAACTAAAATCATTATTAGTTCAGACAAGCACAACATTACTGTCACTATTCCTGGTAAATCTTAAAGAACAAATATTTGTACATTTTAAATTGTTCCAAATGATGAAAATCAAAGGTAAGCAAAACTGTAAATAGGCAACGTATGCTAAAAATCTGTGTAGTACATTACAGTGTGCAACACTGTGCTGTTAAACATATAGTTGAATGTAATTTTTAAAGGTTGAAAAAAAAAATTAAGCAAGTAATGCCGTTCATGTGATTTTTGTACCATAATGTGTTTCCACAGATATGAAATGATCATTTGTGTGTTGGTGTAGTACACCAACTCATGCAATGTGCATGTGCATTGCCCTTGTATCTGTAGTGTACGTTGTGTGTGTGTGTGTATATATTTGTATGTGTGGGGTGTGTTTAGGTCTGTTTTTCTTTTTTTATAAGAAAATATCAAGGGTTCACATAGACATTCATGTTTATCAATCCCTTCAGTAATATATCTATTGTTTATTTAGGAAATTGAAGGGATTAGTACACAGACATGAGATGAAAGTGTGGCATGTACAGCTTTCCTGATGAAGAATTGGGACTGACATATCAGTCAGTCATCGCTGGACACCATGATTGACATGGACCTGGTTACCCTCTTATTATAAAGATGAATTTCAGATTTCACCATACATCCCACCTTTTACCCCTACCACATTTTCTTTGCACACAGAGGTAGGAAAGATGCCCTTGCCCCTCAATACTGGGACAAGGGTTCTTTGCTAAGGAAGCAAGGCTTTGCTGCCCTCCCCCTTAAGAGGTACCTCCTAATATTGAAAGGCATGTGGCCTGGTATGGTAAAGAAAAGAGAAGCATCGAGGCTGCTTGCCTGGATAAGGGTCATGTTGGAGGTTTTAGGAGGACCCCAAATCTTTATTTTTTATTAGTTCTATTTTTTACTACATTCCAACTGCAGTAAATGGAAATGCTCAAAACACATTAAATATTTATTGAAGCTTTTTTTGTCACAATGTTGCGATGTGCAACTACAACTTATATGAAAATAAAGAACATTCAATATTGTTCAATAAAAATAAAGAACCAAATGAATGTTAGAAGCCACAAAGAGGAAGCAGAACAAGGGGGACAATTTATTAATAGAATAGAATATGTTCACTTTGTAAAGTGTATATTCACTTTGAAAGAATATTATTCAGTCCATTTACTGAATGAGGTGAGACTGTGTTTACGTCAATCATCCAGTCATGTGCAGTCATGTGGGTATCAAAATTGAACATAATGTCACTTTTCAAAGTAACTGTTTACTTAGCTTAGTAAATAAGGTGAACAGCCTCTACTCCTTTAGGAAAATCAACCCCATCTTTATGATTTCAAGATGAAAAAGTTGAAAAATACTCAATTATTATGTTATATGTTACTTTTGTTACAATGTCATCTATTTTTTTCCTTGCAGTGGTGCCTTTTCTGAGGTTTTCCTAGTAAAAGAGAGGTCCACTGGACAGCACTATGCTTTAAAATGTATAAAGAAAGTGAATAGTGCAAGAGACCGAAGCTTGGAGAATGAAATAGCAGTTTTAAAAAAGTAAGAAGGTTCAGTTCAATTTTCCATGAATATTATGCGTTATATTTTCTTTAATTTGTAGAACATTGATATATTCAGAAACATAATGAATGATTCATTATCTTTCTTAAAACACATTTCTTAACCATAACTGAAAGAAGGCTTTCAGAACTTGTTCAAATGATGTGATAATCACAAAGGGGAATTTAGTTCACAAAATAAATTTTACTTCATCACAAGCAATGTGACAAAAAACAATAAGCTTGCAATGGGCTGCCAGCTTAATTCTTTAATTGCTGATGCATTGAAATTACATGTAACTAATTAGATTCACCTATTGGTTTACCTGATTTCATTTTTTTAATTATCCAAACAACCTGAGTAATTCATGTGTGTCAGTAATTAAAGTAATAAGCTGGAAACCGTTGCAGGCCTACACTAGCAATATGGCATTTCTCAGAAGGTCTGGTATGTCTGAGAGTAGTTGTAAACTACTGTGATCTTCCTCATGCTGATTGTCCTCATTTCACTCTAAATAAACGGTCAGAATTCACTGTATTTTATTTATCAGTCAATGATCCTTTATAGTATTCATGGTTTTCATTTGAGTCTGTGCCTATTTTTTCAGCTAAATGTTTGAACATTTGCACAAGTGTGGGCTAACATGGTTCTTATGCCATAGTGTATTTGGTTGGCATAAGGCAATGTATGTTTCATAATTCCATAAAATTGTATTCAGACATACATATTTCTTTTAGTCTAGAAATCTAAGTCTAATGCTATCAATTGTGGTTACGCCAGCAGTATGCAAAAGTAATCCAATTGTTATAAAGAAATATTTTTCCAAACAAAATACATGACTGCTGAGAAGCCTAGGTGCGTTTTGACCACTAACGTAACAAAAAACCTTGCCCCCCAAAAAGACACAGAGGCTGATTAAGTTGTAACTAGGGCAAGGCCACAGCTTTATTGAACTTTGCAAACTGTAACAACATTCAAAGAAACCATATAACAATGCCAGTCACGGTTATACTGTGAGCATCCATAGCAAAAACACAGATAGTGTAAGGTGCCTGTCTTCACCATCAGTGCCAGACAGGCATTAAACTGACCCCAGAATTAAACTTGAGGGCATAGCCCATGATGCAATATCAATCGCTGGCATAGTAAAATCACCAATAAAGCTGTGACGAAACTCACAACGGTTGGGTGGGTGGGCAAATCTTGTGATGTCTGAATCTCCTTATACAGTAGTAGTGGGACGTGCCCCTGCATAGCCTTTTTCCTATTGTTCAGGCTCCACTCAGTCACCTCATGTCTTGGTGGCCAATCCTAATGGAGCCACTTAACCTCCCTGTTTTAGGTTTATGCCAGAGTAGCTGCCAAGCTTCCATTAGTCAAGGCTCCCTTTACCTAGGAAGAGGGAGGGGGGTCAAGGGGCCTTCATTTTCACTAATCTACATTAACAAAAATATTGCTATTTACTAACCAGTTAAAATATCCATCATTTGCTTTGACATGGATTTAACACAAGAACGAAAATGTTCTGCAGTTACACACCTCTTGTCTTAAGGCAGGGGTGTCCAAACTTTTTTCAAAGAGGGCCAGATTGGATGAAGTGAACATGGTGGAGGGCCGAACATTTTTCCGAACATTCTTTGAACCATTACAATTAAATGCAAATAAATTATTTTATGCCAAGTTAATTGCAAACGACATACTTTTCATTTCATAACATTAAGATCAACTGACAGCTGAGTTTTCACAATGTATTGAAAATAAATTTAAAAAAAAACTTACCTGCACTAATGTGAAGGGTGAAAAAGGTAGCTGGAGCTGAAGTCTTCTGCTCGGCAGCCGGGAGGGGAAGAGAAACACACTTCACGCTGGAAGCCCGGCCCTGACGTCACCGCCCTCTGTCGCTCCCAGCGCGGCACAGTCACGCATGCGCACTGCTCTCAAGCAGAAGACTGTCTGCCACAGAAGGGAGGGCCATGCGACAGCCGCATTTACACAGACCAGGGAGAACGCGCCGCAGTCAGGCATGCGCACTGCCCTCTGCTCTCAAGCAGAAGACTGTCTGCCATAGAAGGGAGGGCCGTGGGAGGGCCACATTACACAGAGCAGGGAGGGCTGTTGGAGGGCCGTATTAAACCGACCCCCGGGCCGTAAATGGCCCGCGGGCCAGACTTTGGACATGCCTGTCTTAAGGTGACAACACTCACTAATGCAGGCCATACATAAGTCGAATTATGAACAAATTTTTTAGAAAATTGAAAATTTTGAGCATTTTGTAATCCGATGGTGCCACCATTGATTTTGAAATTCGAACAACCAGACCCTTAATTTCACCTCATGTTGCTACAGAAAAGAATTTCCGTGGCCAAGAATTTTGTTTTCTTTCCAGGTCTCATGCTCATTTCTTTTTCAATTACATTTCTCGCACGATTCTCCCAAAAACCTTCCAACACAACTGAAATTCGATGGTCGCTCGAAAATCGGCAAATACTGTGGCCCACTAATGGTGCAAAATTCAAATGAAAATACTTAGAAAAGATTTTCAAAAGAAAATTATTTTGGAATTCGACCCATGTATGGCCGGCTTTAATGTATTGTATTTATGGAGAAGCAGCAATGTCACCCTAGTGTACAAAGGAAGTTTGCTAAGACCATAGAATAAGTAGTATGTACAGTACATATGCACCTATGCAACCCATATTAAATATCCCCTGGTTCCTCATGCACAACAGAGGTAGGTGAATCATTGTAAGACCATCACTTGTGTTTAACTTACAATCAAGGGCTATAGAGGTTTTTAATGTGTTACATATTTATGATTTTGAGTATTGTAGTTTACTGTAGTTTTCCAAGTAACAGGAATTTTTAGGTTAGATATGTTTGTTATTTAATAACTCAGTCCTAAATGTTTATCTAAAAATGTGGAGTTTATATAGTGTTTGTATACTACAATATATATGTTACTAATGGTAAAAGGTATCTAAGCACAAAATTGAAAATTCAATATATTGAAGCTTACTAGTCATTTGATGTGGTGGCTGCATTTCTTTTCTTTTTTTTCAGGCCTTCATTTTCACCTGGTAATTCTGTGAAAAATACATTTCCATATCATTTCTCCATTGTATCTATGGGGGCATAACATGAAGTGAATGCAATGCTACAGAAATCTGTCAGACATTGCAGATATAAAACAAGAGGTAGTAAATGACTATGGATTTGCCATAAGTAATGGTCAAAGAATACAAACATACTATGGGAGATATTGGAGATTGGGAAGTCATAGACTGGAGATTCATGCAAGAGATCACTGCTATTGTTGTAACCCTTTTACAAATCAATGCAATATGTCTTCTCTACAGCCCCTTTATAATGTATTTGTGCTACATTTGATCTTTTCTTCCATAAAGAAAGATCAGAGGTAAAAAACAAATTAACCACATTGTTCTTCTACTAAAAGCCTAAAGAATACACAGGGCAACACACATTTTGGTGCCTCAAAAGTTAGACCTGTTCCTGGGTATAGTTGACCCTCTGACTCAAAGAAGGGCACCAATTTTTCTCTATCATCTCTAGTTTTTGAGATACACATAAAAAAATCAGAATATTTTAATGTAGTGTTTTATTTAATCTCATTGTAACATGAAAGAAACACATAAAAAGATAGCCATAACCTCTATAGTGCCCAGTCTACAAAATGAAACAATATGAGTGGCAATATACACACACCTCCTGTATGATCATAACTGTAATATCGTTAATAACTTACACTTTAGAATCCAATGTTTCTGATGTAAAATTACAGTTAAATGTACATAAACACTATATCTGATAACTTGTATGCAAAAACACAAATATCTTTTCAAAAACTGATTAAAAATGAACATATATAAATTCAACCATATCTAAGAAACTAGAGCTGATGCAGTCTAGTCACTGCAATTTTCTGAATCAGCACCAAGAAAAGGTCTAATATGCAAAGCACCAAGAAAAAAAGCTTTTTTTTTTTTTTTTGGAGGGCTGTGAAATATTTTCTTCACTGACCTGAGCAAGCACCTTTGAATGGTAAAGCAAACTACTGTCTGCAGGGTCGCTGAGGACCACACAATATGTGGCAAAGAGCTGCATGTGGCCCCTGAGCCACAGGCTGAGAACCAAGGTTATAGGCTCTCAGCTTTTATAAAACACAAAGTTTGGGGGTTCTAAGAAACCTTCAAGTCCATATTTTTCAATTACTCATGCATGAAAATGGTTAAAGGGTAACTCCACTTTCCTGGGGAAAAAATAGCAATAAATAATAACCTAGTGTATATAATTACTATACAAGTCATATTTTTATTAAATGTAAAAAAAAAAATTTACCTTTCCTTTTCAATCTGCAGCTCTGTTATTTTCTGTAAAATGCAATGCAATATGGCTACATGGAGGTGTTCCATACAAATATGGTGTACAGAGTGCCACCCACCCCCAAATGTCCAAATGTCATTTCCTGCTTGTGTGATTGGCTCACTGAAGTCAGATTTTGGACATCCCCTGCAACAAAAATTTAATTTTTAGTGTAAAACTCCCAAAGGGTAAACACATCTAAAAGTATACAGACCCTGCAATTTTTCTCATTAGAGCCCTGCAGGTGCAACAGCTGATTGATAATGATGAAATCACTGTCATACAAATTCACTCTGCACATGGACAGAGACAAACAAACAGCTATTTCTTCAGAATAACAAAAGGTAGGAATCTGCAACAAAGTTTGTTAAAATCCTTGCAAAGTACATAGATCACCCAGAGGGGAATGTTTTTTCTCAACAAAAGTGGAGTTACTCTATAAGAAAACCCTTCAAGAATGCAGCAGTATTTACTTCCCTACATTGTTTTCTATTAGATATGGAGGTTGCTAGCTCAGGACTAAAGGAATATGATTCCTGTGATAGACAGCTGTGAGTCATTATAAATGTGGGGCTTTAGAAACCTGGAGGTTTATATTAGGCATAATTTAAAAAAAGGAACAAAGACTGTTCTCTATACTTTAGGTAAAAGTGTTTCTTTCCATTGGTGACTTTTACAAACCCATATTTACAGGAAAAATTCTTCAAAATCTTAGATTTACTTGAAAAATCAAATATTAAATAATTATGGGATACTAAAGCACTGATGTGGCATTAAGTCATGTTTAAAGTACTCTCTATTTTATCTCTATTTTCTCCTGGATAAAAGATGAAGCTTGAACTAATATTTTGTTCTGTTCTCTGAAGGATTAAACATGATAATATTGTGACACTTGAGGATATCTATGAGAGCTCTTCACACTTCTACCTTGTCATGCAGCTGTAAGTAGCAAAGTTCACTGGAATATGATTTCTAGTTCTTATTTTGTATTACAGACTAATACTAATACTACATTATAAAACAATGGTTGCATGAGGAAATACTGCCGCCAACCGTAAAGTTATATATTATATAAGAAATAAAATATCAGTATCCCTCTACAGTACATGAAATTTCTTACATGTGCACTTATACTAATGTAGGAACATGAACGTTCTTATATGCAATATTATCACAGTACATACAGTGAGGAACAGAAGTATTTGAACACCCTGCGATTTTGCAAGTTCTCCCACTTAGAAATCATGGAGGGGTCTGAAATTCACATTGTAGGTGCATTCCCACTCTGAGAAACAGAATTTAAAAAAAAATTCAGGAAATCACATTGTATGATTTTTAAAGAATTTATTTGTCTTGCACTGCTGAACTTAAGTATTTGAACACCTAAGAAACAGCAAGAATTATGGCTCTCAAAGACCTGTTACTGTGCCTTTAAAAAGTCCTCCTCTACTCCACTCATTAATTTAACTTAGTAGCACCTGTCTGAGCTCTTTAAAGACACCTGTCCACTCCACAGTCAGTCAGACACCAACTACTACCATGGGCAAGACCAAAGAGCTGTCAAAAGACACCATTGTGAACTCCACAAGGCTGGAAAGGGCTACAGTACGATTGCTAAGCAGCTTGGTGAAAATAGATCAACTGTTGGAGCAATTGTTAGAAAATGGAAGAGGCTAAAGATGACTCTCAGTCTCCCTCGGACTGGGGCTCCATGCAAGATCTCACCTCCTGGGGCATCACTGATGATAAGAAATTTGAGGAATCAGCCCAGAACTACAAGGGAGGAGCTGGTCAATGACATGAAGAGAGCTGGGACCACAGTTTCAAAGGTCACTGTCGGTAGAACACTACACCGTCATGGTTTCAAATCATGCATTGCACGGAAGGTTCCCCTGCTCAAGTCATCACGTGCCCAGGCCCGTCTGAAGTTTGCCAATGACCATCTGGATGATCCAGAGGAGGCATGGGAGAAAGTCATGTGGTCAGATGAGACCAAAGTAGAACTTTTTGGTCTAAACTTCACTCGTTGTGTTTGGAGGAAAAAGAAGGATGAGTTACATCCCAAGAACACCATCCCTACTGTGAAGCATGGGGGTGGTAACATCATGCTTTGGGGGTGCTTTTCTGTGAAGGGGACAGGACAACTGCACGGTATTAAGGAGAGGATGAATGGGACCATTTAGTGTGAGATTTTGAGCAACAACCTCCTTCCCTCAGTCAGAGCATTGAAGATGGGTCGTGGCTGGGTCTTCCAACATGACAACGATCCGAAGCACACAGCCAGGATAACCAAGGAGTGGCTCCGTAAGAAGCATATCAAGGTTCTGGAGTGGCCTAGCCAGTCTCCAGACCTAAATCCAAGAGAACATCTTTGGAGGGAGCTGAAAATCCGTGTTGCTCAGTGACAGCCCCGAAACCTGACAGATCTAGAGGAGATCTGTGTGGAGGAGTGGGCCAAAATCCCTGTTGCAGTGTGTGCAAACCTGGTCAAGAACTACAGGAAACGTTTGACCTCTGTAATTGCAAACAAAGGCTTCTGTACTAAATATTAACACTGATTTTCTCAGGTGTTCAAATACTTATGTTCAGCAGTGCAAGACAAATAAATTCTTTAAAAATCATACAATGTGATTTCCTGAATTTGTTTTTAAATTCTGTCTCTCAGAGTGGGAATGCACCTACAATGTGAATTTCAGACCCCTCCATGATTTCTAAGTGGGAGAACTTGAAAAATCACAGGGTGTTCAAATACTTCTGTTCCTCACTGTATAATATTATATGCAATATTATCAGTATGAAAAAAAAACCCAAAATATACAACAGTATTAATGAGAGAATGAGTATTCCTATGTATTGACAGAGAATATTGTCAATGTTATTTTGAGAACTATCACATTTTCTAATGAACATTATGCAGCGATAAAAAAAAATTACATTCCTGCTTTTAAGAAATGTGGTAGTAATCATTTAAATTCGTGCTTTGACATATTGTGTTTTGGACTAAAATGTAAACATTTAAATATATCATATTTACATTTCCAGCCAATGGAGCTCTAGGATTATTTTCTCATAATTAACAGGCCAATCTGATCACATTTGCTGGAAAAAAAAATTCTTTACTGAGGTCTACATCTTAAAGTGGAATTATACTCGCCTCCACTCCAGTGACGTGGTGTCCAGGAGCTCCCTCACTGGCAACTGAAATTTTCTCCCTGGGCTTCTTTGAGGTTCCAGTCTTCGGCCATTTTGATTGGCTGGGCCAAAATGATGTTACTCTTATGCATTCATGGGAGTTCATTCATCTCAGCAGATGCCGAGATTGTACACTGAGCTGCACAGACAGTGCAGACAGGCAGGTAAGAAACTTTAATGCAGAGACATTGCATGTCTCTTCTGTATTAAAAATCCTGCCTGTTTAATTTAATTTTAAATTTTTAATTGAAGTGCCATTTCAAGTTTATACCAATGCTGAAAGAGCCAGAGGAAGGAACCCCCACACCATCCATTCAGTAGGGGTTGTGCAAAGTTTTCTTAAGCATGAGAAAGAGTCTAAAAGAAACAGCTTCTGCTAATAGATGGGCAACACAGGTCCAATACAATGTCAAGCTGAGATCTATTGTTTCCAATAGATCCAGTACACTCCCAACACTTTGCATTCATGTGTGCTTAAAATGGACAATGCTTCATTTGAATGCTGCATGTTAGATTAAAAAAAAATATTTTGGACCCTGCTTTGAAAGAAAACAAAGAAGATGAGTAATAAGACAGCACATAAAACAACATATGCCAATACAATGTGCTAAATGTGGATTAATGCACGCTAAATGCAAATCAAGTGATTTGAATCCTATACGTTTATTAGTAAAATAAATATTTTCTATGAATAGTGATACAAGATGTAACACTATTTTAACATGTACAACATGTTAAACATTAAATAAAATGAGCCAAATCTTTTATTCTTTCCCTGTTATGGTAAACGTTTCAGTTTTGTTGGGCACATGATGCACAGTAATGGGAGAGAAACAAAAGCCAGGGTGTTTTTAAAGATTGTGTGTGCATTTAAATCCACTCCTGATAAAGCCATGTATGCCACTTGTAAACCTTTTAAAGCTTGTTATAAACCAATTAGGATACTGTTCACATTGTAAGCACACAGAAATCTTTGGCATATGGAGCTTAAAAAGAAATACATTTTCACTCCTGTCTTTACAGAGTTCTTTGTCATCTATTTGGTTTATAAAAGTTGTTCGCTACTGTAGTTACTAATACAGTGTGTATTCGTAATATAACATTTGACCGCCTGTACAATTGTATGTGGTAGGGTATCTGGAGGGGAGCTCTTTGATCGTATATTGGAGCGTGGAGTTTACACAGAGAAAGATGCCAGCAATGTTATACGCCAGGTTCTGTCTGCTGTTAAATATCTTCATGACAATGGAATCGTCCACAGAGATTTAAAGGTAAACCTAAAACATATCTAAACCCAAGAACAAAAATTGATAGGTTTGTAGTTTACCTTTTTCGACAGGTGCTGACTGATTTTTATTTTTATTTTTTCACACTTTTTTAAATTTTAACTAAGTGATTGTGCCACTTCCTGTCCTAAGGTGATAACTATACTATATCTACAGTTGCAAGAAAAAGTATGTGAACCCCTTGGGATTACATGGAGGTTTGCATGAATTGGGCATAAAATGTGCTCTGAACATCATCTAAGTCACAACAATAGAAGAACACAGTCTGCTGAACATAATACTACACAAACATTAGATGTTGCCATGGTTTAATTGCACATAACATGTAAACATTCACAGTGCAGGGAGGAAAAAGTATGTGAGGCCCTAGCTTAATGACTTCTCCCAGAGCTAATTGGAGCCAGGAGTGAGCCAACCTTGACTCCAATCAGTGTCATGATATTGGATGTGTTGCTGACAGCTGTCCTGCCCTTAAAAAACACACACCTGTTTTGGGTTTACTGGTTTCAAGAAGCACTGTCTGATGTGAACCATGCCTCGCAGAAAAGAGCTCTCAGAAGACCTAGGATCAAGAATTGTTGACTTGCATGAAGCTGGAAAGGGTTACAAAAGTATCTCCAAAAGCCTTGATGTTCATGTGTTCACGGTAAGACAGACTGTCTACAAATGGAGAAAGTTTAGCACTGCTGCTACTCTCCCTAGGCTTGGTCGTCCTGTAAAAATGACTGCAAGAGCACAGCACAGAATGCTGCATGAGGTAAAGAAGAATCCCAGAGTGTCAGCTAAAGACCTACAGAAATCTCTGGCACATGCTAACATTTTTGTTGACACATCTACAATAAGGAAAACATTAAACAAGAATGGAGTACATGGCAGGACACCACGGAGGAAGCCATTGCTGTCCAAAAAGAATATTGCAGCACGTTTCACCCAATTCATGCAAAACGTCACATAATCCCAAGGGGTTCACATACTTTTTCTTGCAACTGTAGGTATCTAGGAGCTGTGTTGTCACCCTAGGAGGGGAGCGTGTAGGTTGGTCATACATTATGCAAACTTCTTCACAGGTTGAAGAAAAATTATTTGATTTCCCCATCAACACTGACAGTTGTGCTATTGTCTCTTTAGCTGCACTATTGTATTCTGACAGTGGAAGGTTTCTCTGCCATCAGACTACAATGATCGCTGCTGCCGAAAAAAATCCAACAGGCTGGCCGTATACTTTAATAAACATGGTTTTTGTAGTAAAAGACTACATAGTTTTATATCACTAGAATTTTTTGGATTAAAAGAGCGACATCAATGAACAACCTTCAGTACAAAGAGGTTAAATTAGGTTGCTGTATGAATATGTTTATACTTTACATGAATGGCACCGCAATGCAACAACACATGTTATGTTTAAATGCACATTTAGTGGAAGTGGGAATCCAGATTTAGTAATTACACATTTTGGGGGGATTTATAAAACTGGGTCACAATCTGGTGCATCTGTGCATGGTAGGCAATCAGCTTCTAACTTCAGCTTGTTCAGGTAAGCTTTGGCAATAAAACTGGATTGGTTTCTCTGCAGAGTTGCATCAGATTTTGCACTCACCGGTTTTAGTAAATAACCCCCTTAGTGTTAAAAATATATTAACCTCCTTGGCGGTATTCCCGAGTGATTAAAATTTCAGTATATTAGCGGTAACCCCGAGCTACACTCGGGATTACCATGCGGCGCTGCTCCGGCATGTGTGTCTCTCACTTACCTTACCCTGCGCTCCCACGATGTGTCCCCTGCAGTGTCCCCGCCATCTCCTCCGGCCGATGCCGGCATCCGGCTTCTGTGTCCTGTCCCTGTGACGTCGGGACGTACGGGCGCCGCCGCCAGCGGCGGGAAATTTAAAAATTTTAAAAAATGTCATTTTTTTTTTTTTCATTTTACACAGTAAAACATTGCTGTTTCAACCTATTTCACATACATATTGTCCCTAGTGCTTTGTCCTGCACCCTGCCTGCATTTTGTCTGTTCTTTCTGCCTGGAAACTGAGAAATGTCCATGGCGTCCAAAAAGTGTCCCTTTAGGTCAAAAAAGCGGTTTAGATTCAGCTAGAGAACAGCGATAGTAAATCAGAACCACTTACAGAATTGAGTGATAATGATTCGTGGGGGAAATTCGTCATCAGAAACTGAAAACGATTTTGCGACTGAGCAGCATGTGCGAACTTGGCGCTCTATTTCACATTTCAGTGTTTTTGGTTTGATTATATTATTGAATTAAATTTTTTATTATTTTTATATTATTTTTATGATTATTTATTAAATTATAATTTATGATTTTGTGTTTCAAATTTTATCATACCCGGGATGTTTACTAGACTCTTGTTCGGACAGATTTCAGTGAAAAAATTACAGCCTACAATAAAAAAAATACATATTTCCATGCAAAAAAATGGTACCGCTTTCAGCACCAAAAATCTGAAATAATCATACCGCCAGGGAGGTTAAAGCAATGTGGCAATTGCTTAATATTTGATTATAAAGATCTTATATTATATCCTCTACAGTGAATATTTTTACATTTTCATTACAGCCAGAAAACCTCCTTTACCTCACTCCTGATGAAAACGCAAAGATTATGATAACAGATTTTGGTCTTTCCAAAATGGAGGAAAGTGGGATCATGTCCACAGCCTGTGGCACTCCAGGCTATGTTGGTGAGTAGATGAATTCTTACAAAGAAAATTATTTTCAGAGGAAAACATTCTTTGACAAGTTTACAGATATACCAGTAACATTGGGGTGAATTCACTAAGAGATAAATACTACATGAATTTTTTTAGTTAACCTCCCTGGCGGTATTCCTGAGTGTAGCTCGGGGTTACCGCTTGTGGTGCTGAAACTTTACCCCGAGCTACACTCAGGAATACCGCCAGGGAGGTTAACTAAAAAAATGCTTTGATACAGTAATGTTTTACTATGTGATTTTAGTGTATTTAGTGAATGTCACTTTTTGCCATTTTTAAATTTCCCGCCGGTTACGTCCCCTTTATGTCCCGACGTTGCAGGGAACGGAACCCGGAAGAAGATGCCGGCATCGGCCGGAGGAGATGGCAGGGGACACTGCAGGGGGGACATCGTGGGAGCACAGTACAAGGTAAGTGCAGAAGGGATCCTGGAGCAACGCTACAAGGTATTCCCAAGTGTAGCTCGGGGTAAAGTTTCAGCACCACAAGCGGTAACCCCGAGCTACACTTGGGAATACCTTGTAGCGTTGCTCCAGGATCCCTTCTGCACTTACCTTGTACTGTGCTCCCACGATGTCCCCCCTGCAGTGTCCCCTGCCATCTCCTCCGGCCGATGCCGGCATCTTCTTCCGGGTTCCGTTCCCTGCAACGTCGGGACATAAAGGGGACGTAACCGGCGGGAAATTTAAAAATGGCAAAAAGTGACATTCACTAAATACACTAAAATCACATAGTAAAACATTACTGTATCAAAGCATTTCACATACATTTTGTCCCTAGTGCTTTGTCCTGTGCTCTGTCTGCACTTTTACTGTTCTTTCTGCCTGGAAACTGAGAAATGTCCATGGCGTCCAAAAAGCATCACTTTAGGTTAAAAGTGGTTTTAGACCAGCTAGAGAACAGCGATAGTAAATTAGAACCACTTACAGAATTGAGTGATAATGATTCGTGGGGAAATTCGTCATCAGACACTGAAAACGATTTTGCGACTTTGCTCAGTGATGTGCGAACTTGGCGCTCTATTTCAAATGTCAGTTATTTTTGGTTTGATTACATTATTGAATTAAATTTATTATTATTATATTATTATTTTTTATGATTAGTTATTAAATTATAATTTATGATTTCGTGTTTCAAATTTTATCATACCCGGGATGTTTACTAGACTCTTGTTTGGACAGATTTCAGTGAGTTATTCCTAAAAATTACAGGCCTACAATAAAAAAACGACATATTTTCATGCAAAAAAAGTACCACTTTGAGCACAGAAATACTGGCATAATCAGACCGCTAGGGAGGCTACATGCAGTATTTAATTCAAAAGTAGTCAATTCTCTAAAAAATATGCGTTATTTACCAAATACATTAAATATTTATGTATTGCGATATTTAGCACTTAAATTTTACATTATTTTTGGTGTTGTTTCACAATTTTTTTGCTGGCTAACATTGCACCAGAATGCACACAGCAATATTGTGAAACTGTGAAAACATTCTAGTGTGCTTTAATTTACAAAATGATCTTCCTCTGATAAAATGTTACAATTTATTTTCATTCCTGAGCCCAGAGGAGAACATTTTTACACTGATACATTGTATACTTTTCACTTTCAGGCCAGTGCAGAGTTCCACTAATTGTTATTTTGTACATCTCTAAAATAACGCCAGCAAACACCTGGTGACGAATGTGTGTGTTTTTGAACCCCTGGCGCCTCCCAGCCCTCTGAGGAGTTTCTGACACCGAGATGCGGGGCGGGGTTTAGGGTCATGTGACTATTGTGATTTGCTGTCACTGTAGTCACATGATCAGAAAGGTACTGATCACAAGGAAAGATTGGGACCTTTCCAAGGGACATAGACAAATGTGCTGGGAATGTGTAGGGCGTGTTCTTTCAGCATGTTTGTTTACAAATGGTACGCAAATATGCGGCCGCTCAGCGTCAAGGACCAACTGCATATTTGCATAACGTCGGCGTGAAGAGGTTAATGTATTGACTATGATTTATCTCATGTTTTTTTGTGGTATTTATCTCACTATTTTAACAAATGTCCGGTATTTACCTCACATTCGATGTTTTACTTTGTTGAAATGACTCTTTTATTATCCCATGCAATATTTCTGAAAAATGAGTCACGTGACATTCATATTGCATGCGGTAACCTTTAGTTAAATTGTAAATTGACCCCATTCTCACTATAGTATTTCATCCTAAAAAAAACCCTGTTTCTATAGAACATTCAATGAAGTTATTATCAGCAGCAAAGTCATATGTAGTGTTAATTTTACTTATTACCCTGTGATGCCCAGTTGACCATATGAGTGTACAATCATCATAGGCATCTGTGATTTGACAAACTGCTTTAAGTTTCATTTTATTTTATTGAGATGTGTCAAACATCAAGAAATAACTCCTCAATTAAGCTAGATGCATACAGCAAGCAAAAACTATGTGTATGCAGCTTATTTAAATCATTGTTCCTCTTTATATAATACATTCCATTTGCATCACCACTATAATTATGACTTACAGAATCCAACATTTGATTTTATTATTCAACTGTCAATACATTGCTTGATGTGAGTCCTCGTTTTCTGCATTATTAATTCAATAAAAAAATATTTATTTGTAAAGTATATTTAAACACTCCTCACGGAAATCATTCATGCATTATGTTCTTAATAATAGGATTATGTTCTTAATAATAGGCTGCATCACTGCTTTTTTACATAAAAATGTGTTTTTATTTGAATTATGCTCTGGTTGTAGTTTCACCTGTTATTTTTTTTTTTCAGCTCCTGAAGTCCTTGCACAAAAGCCATATAGTAAGGCAGTGGATTGCTGGTCTATTGGAGTTATTACATATATTTTGTAAGTACAGCAGTGACAATGAGAAGCATAATGGGCTTGCTAAACTTTGCATGGTGCAGTATATATTTGTGCACATAACAATGTAGACAATGCCTCTAAAAGACAGAGATTCTGAGAGTTTATAGGTTGCAGAAACTGCAACATTACTGCATCAAATCACAATTTGAGGTTTTCCAGTTTTTTAGGGCACATATTGCAAATCCTCTCCAACATAGGCGCTCTGTTTTATAAATTGGCACATGTCAAGTGCACATAATATGTGCACCAACAAACAAAAGTTTATCTAGCCCACTGGTTTTTATTCAGATTGTTTTCCTTTTTTTTACATTGCAGTATAATGAGGTTGGTTTGCAAAGAATACTCAATCATGTTTAAGGAGAATGAAAATAACAGAATTTTCCCTCATACAAGATTTGATAACCAAAGTCATCAAAGTTTCACTTTGTTTACTAAGCTAAGTGAAAATTCACTCTTAAAAAAACACAGAGAATAATTACTAATTAAAAGCAACAAATATTTACCGTAGACTCAGTTTTCCCATACTTCTCCTAGGTGAGGGTGATGTCAGTCAGCATTCTCGCAGAATCCTAGGAAAATTGAGAATTCCAAGTCTCATGAGAATATGCTCCAACAACAGATTTGTGTGATGTGCAGCATTTGAGACTATCACCCTTTCCCATCCTGTATTCATGTAACTGAGACAAGCTCCTTACCTCCCTGCACTCCCAGCAGCTGATAGCTGATAAGGACTTACTGGAGCTTTGAGAGGCACCCTTCATCTTTGCATGGGTTTGAAATTTTACATATGGGACAAGTGAACTTTTATAGAGGTCAAGTAGTAAATTATTTAAATAATTTAAGTTCCATAAATCTTTCTTATTTTTTTTAAATCCAGGTTATGTGGCTATCCCCCTTTCTATGAAGAAACTGAATCTAAACTCTTTGAGAAAATCAAGGAGGGCACTTATGAATTTGAATCACCATTTTGGGATGACATTTCTAAATCTGGTATGTGTTCCTGTATGTATACATATAGTAGATATGGACAACAACTTCACTGTAATGTGTGTGTCTCTGTTTCTCTCTTTCTCTTTATACAGTTAGGTCCATATATATTTGGACACAGGCAACAATTTTATTTTTTTCCAGGTATTTACAAAAACATATTCAAGCTATAGTTATATAATGAATATGGGCTGAAAGTGAAAACTTGCAGGTTTAATTAGAGGATATGTACATCCAAATTGTAGGGAGGGTTTAGCAATTACAGCTCTTAAGAGTAGCCACCCCCCTTTTCAAGGGACCAAAAGTAATTGGACAATTGAATAATTGAATATAATCTTAAATAAAATGTTCATTTTTAATATTTTGTAGATAATCCTTTACTGACTGCCTGAAGTCTGGAACCCATGGAGATTACCAAAGTTTTGGTTTCCTCCTTTCTGATGCTTTGCCAGGCTCTAACTGCAGTTGTCTTCTGTTGTTCTTTGTTTGTGGGTCTTTATGTCTTTAGTTTTGCCTTCAGCAAGTGAAATGCATGTGCAATGGAGTTGAGATCAGGTGACTGACTCAGCCATTGCAAAATATTCCACTTCGTTTCCTTCAAAAGCTCCTGGGTTGCTTTTGCAGTGTGTTTTGGATCATTGTCCATCTGTACTGTAAAGTCCCATCCAATAAACTTTGCTGCATTTGGCTGAATCTGGGCTGACAGTATATCTCTAAATACTGCAGAATTCATCCAGCTGCTTCTTTCTTCTGGCACATCATCAATAAATGCCAATGACCCAGTGTTTTATAGATGACGTTGTGTGCTTTGGATCATGAGCTGTACCAAGCCTTCTCCACAATTAATCTGTACCAGAATTACGGGAAGGAGAAAGTGTGGAGAAGGCTTGTAACAGCTCATGATCCAAAGCACAAAATGTCATCTGTAAAACATGGTGGACACAGTATGATGGCATGGGCATGCATGGCTTCCAGTGGCACTGGGTCATTGCTGTGTATTGATGATGTGACAGAAGACGGAAGCAGCCGGATGAATTCTGCAGTGTTTAGAGATATACTGTCAGCCCAGATTCAGCCACATGCAGCAATGTTGATTGGATGGCACTTCACACTACAGATGGACAGTGATCCAAACCACACTGCAAAAGCAACCCAGGAGCTATTGAAGGAAAAGAAGTGGAATGTTCTGCAATGGACGTGGAAATCACCTGACCTCAACCCCATTGAGCATGCATTTCACTTGCTGAAGGCATAACTAAAGGCATAAAGACAAACAATGAACAACTGAAGACAGTTGCAGTTAGAGCCTGGCAAAGCATCAGAAAGGAGGAAAGCCAGTATTTGGTCATGTCCATGGGTTCCACACTTCAGGCAGTCATTGCCAGTAAAGGATTCTCAACAAAATATTAAAAAATTAACATTTTATTTATGATTATATTAATTTGTCCAATTACTTTTGGTCCCTATTCTTCAGAGCTGTAATTCCTAAACCCTTCCTCCAATTTGGATGTACATACCCTCAAATTAAACATAAGGGCGTGTACTTTCAGCCCATATCCATTATATAACTATAGCTTGAATATGTTTTGGTAAATACCTGAAAAAAAACTAAAATTGTGCCTGTGTCCAAATATATATGGCCCTAACTGTATATGGACGTAACTGTATATATATATACATATAAATATAGTCTGTCTCTCTAGTGCAGTATTACTCTCCTCGATATATAAAAACAGAAGAAATAGTGAAAGAACTGCTTGAGGGCTCACTGTCTCCTTTTGCAACTAAAAAGTCTTTTTTTTTTTTTTTTAGTACCATGTTTTGTAAAAAGGCCCATTTAAACATTGGCTTTTGCACCATCAGTTGGTAATTTTAGATGAACTATCATTTCCCTAACCTTGCTGTTTTACCTTTTTCTTCCAGCAAAAGATTTCATAAATTGCCTCCTAGAGAAGGATCCTAAAGGACGCTATAACTGTGAGAAGGCCCTTAAGCATCCATGGTAAGATTGCACTTTGATGTTCCAGTAGTTAAACATAATAATGAAATGACTCTAACAAGAGCTGTTAGCAAGTGAACAGTGACACTTCATTCCACACATCTATCCTAAGTGCCACGTTAAAGGAAAAAATGTCAGACAATTTAGTGTATAAACATTGTATTGCAATTTAGAGACATGTCAGTATAGTCAATAGCCATTCTTAATGATATGATCATCTAATTAGCTGGTGACTATGAATAAATGATCTTGGAAACTGTTCCAGAAACATCAAAAGTTTTGAGTCACAGTGTGCATTGACAAAATAAATACCATGTTGTGTACAGCTTTGCTTCTAAAATGCTGAGGTTTAGCACACATTAACATGGCATATGTTGATCTCAATATTGTGTATAATAAATCACATGTATAAATAATAATATATAATAATAATAATTCCTGTGCACAGCCTTTGTTCTAAAATGCTGAGGATTACTGCAGATAAAAAGCTGTATTGAAATCTCATTATTGTGTATAGCCAAAGATGACTAAAATAAATTCACTTCCATAGTTGATTTAGAGCCTTAGAGCAAGCAGACCCAAACATTTCTTTGAACATGACCATATGCTACAGTAGTTTTCATTCTTTGCATATTTCTGATTAAAGTTTTTATCCACTTGCCTACCGCCCTATAGCAGATATACTGCTACAGGGCAGCCGTTCTGTGCAAAATCACGTACAGTATATACAGGACTTTGCAGTTCCGGGTAGGGCGCATGCACATGTGCACTACCCTGCCCACACTGTCACTGCTCGCAGCAGATGTCAATCAACGGGTACTGACCTGCGATTCTCGGCCGGCACTCAGTGATCGCCGCTAAAGCTGAGAGGGGAGAGATCTGTATGTAAAAAACACAGATCTCTATCCTGTCAGGATGGATATGCTGCTTTCTCTCTCTCTGCACAGCAAGAGAGATAAAGCAGCATGTCTCCCTAGTAAAACAGCACACAGTGTAAGCACAACACAACACACAGTTAACCCTTTGATCATCCCAGATGTTAACCCCTTCCTGCCCAGTGTCATTAGTACATTGTCAGTGCTTTTTATTAGCACTGATCACTGTATTAGTGTCACTGGAGGTGTCAGTGGCCGTTAGTCAGTTCCCCCCCAGTATCAGAATGCCTGGCGCAGTCCCGCTATAAGTGGCTGATTGCCTCCATTACTAGTATAAAAAATAATTAAAAATTGCGGTATATATACTGCTATTTGTAGACACTATAACTTTTATGTAAACCAATTAATTTACATGTATTGGGATTTTTTTTAGCAAAGACATGTAGCAGAATACATTTTGGCCTACATTTATGAAGAAATTTTATTTTTTCATTTTTTTATTGGATATTTTTTATAGCAAAAAGTCAAAAATATTGTTTTTTTTTTTCAAAATTGATAGTCTTTTTTTGTTTATAGTGCAAAAGATTAAAAACACAGATATGATCAAATACCACTAAAAAAAAGCTCTATTTGTGGGAAATAAATGACATGAATTTCATCTATGTACAGCATTTCATGACCACGCAATTGTTAGTTAAAGTAACACAGCAAAAAATGGCCTGGTCAGGAAGGGGGGTAAATCTTCTGGAGGGTAAGTGGTTAAAAATCAGATAAAATGATGGAACTTAGAAGAAACCAATGAGCTATTAATCATTGTCATTCCATAACAAGCCACATTGGACAGTTTTGACTCAAAGTTTAACACCCTAGAACTATTAAACATACTGGTTAAAACTGGAGAGTGCAAAGTCTGATGCAGCTCTGCATATAAATCAATCAGCTTACAAGTTTTTTGTCAAAGACTAATTGAACAAGTTGAAGTTAGAAGCTGATTGGCTACCATTCACAGGTGCATCAAATTTTGCACTCTCCAATTTTAATAAATGATCTCCATAGTGTATAATTCTAATAATCTGCAAATATTTATTGTTTTTTATATATGTTATGGTATACCTTAACTTCTTCCTGCCAGACCGCATATATGTGTACCAAAATGTAAATGATGCTGTGCCGAGAGCGCTCACACTGTACAATTGCCGTAGAGTAATGGAACTCTCACGATCGCAAGTAGAGATTTCCGATCACTTAACCACTGTGACTGCCAATCACAGGGGTCACATGACTGAAATGCCCACCTCCGCCTAGTGGTGTCTGAATTCTCTTAAAGAGTGAGGAGGCACCGGTGGAAAGGGGTTAATGTATATATATGTCTATCGCTCTCATTCTCAATTATATATTTGTTGAATTTTCTCCTGGCTAGCCCAGCATCTGGGGTGGTATGGAGTATTGTGACTGCGATTCAAAATGCTGTTTGCCTAGGAAGAAGATGGAGATGTCCATTGCGGTAAATTTCTCTGACAGCTAAAATAGCTTATATTATAGCCTCCATGTTACAATTCGCCTTGAACAAAGGCAAAAAGACAACAGCAGTTGTCGGCAAGTGTTCTGATGATTCTAATCATAAACATCTTCTACATATTATATAGGGAAATAGGTAGTGTATAAAAATAAAAGTGGGCAGCACAGTGGCTAAATGGTTAGCACTTCCGCCTCGCAGTACTAGGGTCGTTGGTTCAAATTCCAGCCACAGCACTACCTGCCTGGAGTTTGCATGTTCTCTCTGTGCCTGCGCGGGTTTCCTCCGGGTACTCCGGTTTCCTCCCACACTCCAAAGACATGCTGGTAGGTTAATTGGATCCTGTCTAAATTGCCCTAATATGTGTATGTATGAATGTGAGTTAGGGACCTTAGATTGTACACCCCTTGAGGGTTAGGGACTGATGTGAATGTACAATATATATATGTAAAGCGCTGTGTAAATTGATGGCGCTATATAAGTACCTGTAATAAATAATAAATAATAATATTTAAAACTATAAAGCACACTTTAAGGGGAAGGTATCATGATTAATTAAAGATGTGTGCTTTCATTGCTACCCCTCTCAGAGTATGCCAGACCCTGGAATGACATGCAAATCTCTGATTTCTCTAATTAATAAGCAGGGGCGGACTGACAACTCATGGGGCCCCCGGGCAATTGGGGATCATGGGGCCCCTGTGTCCTTGCCCACACTCAAAACACACCCAAAAAAGCCTATAAAAGGTACCAGGGGCATTTTATGGGGCCCCCTTCTGACCCCGGGACCTCGGGCAGTGCCCAAGTGCTCGAATGGTCAGTCCGCCCCTGTTAATAAGTTATTAGTAAGAGATACTTACATACAGCCAGTCAAATCTCCTGGCATACATACTTTTTATGGGTAAGTAACTTTCAGTAGTGCAGCTAGAGGATCATTGTGACAGTCAGACAACTAACATTTTCAGTTGGTGGAGCAGCATATATTTTTTTTTCTTGAAACCACCCATTAAGAAAATAGAACAGGCTTACCCTGTAACATATACCATATATACCATTCTTTACACTGAACTGAAATCATTCAGCCTTATGTCTGTGTTAGTCCCAAGCATTACAAAAATATATGTTGGCCCACATTGTGTTATGCATTCTTTTTATACACATTCAGATACTAATAAAAAAAAAAGACACAATGGTTTTTTTGGGGGGATTTTTTTTTGTTATATTTTGTTTCTACTTTACTACAGGACTAAACAACTGGTATTTTTTAATCTATAGGATTGCTGGGAACACTGCTCTCCATCGAGATATTTATCATTCAATAAGCATCCAGATTAAGAAGAACTTTGCTAAAAGCAAATGGAAAGTAAGTGGTTTGCACATTTTAGTATAATGTTGGATAATCAGTCAAGTCCACCTAGTTCAACCAATAGAAAATAAATAAATTAGTTGAATAAATAAATAGAAAACCTCCATATACAGAATCCTACACCTATGCTTACTATACATACATTCATAAGGAAAAAAGTCTTGCTTCAAAAAAATCTATCATTTGCAATGTCAAGCTCTAGCAACAATCTAGTTCACTTGTAAATAGGTAGAGCCCAGTAATCCCACTTTCTATATAGAAAAAAAATCAAAACAACCTTACACTAGAATATCATTACCTTCGTTATACTCAAAATAATGAAAAAGTCTGAGTTTATTAAATAGGATGCAATAAATCTTAATGTAAAAAGAAACACAGTATGCAAATTAAGATTATCAGTAATGGTCTGTTATATTTTTTTGCAGCAAGCATTCAATGCAGCGGCAGTTGTTTATCACATGAAAAAAATGCATATGCATAACAGTCAGAACAGCTGTGGATCTTCCTCTGAGATGAAGATTGGAGTGCCCACTATCAAAGTGTATGATGCTTCAAGACCTTCAACCCCGGTCATCAGCACTTCTCAGGATGGAATCCTATGCGACAAGGATAGGTTACTTGTCTATGCAGCCAACAAACTTTCTACAGGGAGCACAGAGACAAAGAGTCCATGTAACCTTTGCCATGATGAGAACAACTCTGATATAATAAAAGCAACAAATAATGTCTGTGCTAACATTTCAAAAGATACCATGACTCATTTTGAGAAAAGCAAGAGGGGTAATGATAATTCATCTCACCATAAACAAACTCAAGGCCAAGTTCTTCCCAAATCAAATCAAGAGGTTCAGAGTGACCCTCCCAAAAAATCCTTCAGGAATGTAAAACAAAATAGTGCTACACAGACCAGTCCAGTGCACAATACACTTTCAGAAATATGTCGAGCTGGTTCCATAAATGGTGCAAACTCCCCAATGAAGGTCAAGCCACAGGTCAGTCAGGCTACAAAGTCCACTACTCTGAGTAAACCAACACAATCTGATCCACATTCAAAGGACAACCAGCAACAGAAACATAAAAACACTCCCCACTCTCTTGATATCTCATTGTCACCTTCTGAGAAAACTAAAGGACATAGCTTACAAAAAATACCATCTGCAAATACATCTTGCAAAAAGTTAACTTCACCAGTTAATATTACAACTAACACCACTCAAAAACCTCCTCCTCAAGCAAGTCCAACTTCTCTGAAAACACCCATAAAAGAATTCAGTTCTCCAAAGACCCCCTCAAAAAAGGACAGTGCTCAGACCTCTGTTCAAGAAAACACAGTCAAGAAGAACAGCTCTAAAAAGTCTAACTTAGATCATGATATCCTGTGCATGGAAATCCCTCAGTGCAAACCCTTGGACTTATCTAATGGAACTGTTAAAACTGATAAGTTTTCAGTTCCTACTAATATATATGTAGCTAATGGGAGCTCAAGTGAAACCTATGAGAAAGGAAAGCCAATATCCTGCTCAGAACATGGTCTGATGAAGAAAAGTCACAAGAAACAGTAAGTTATGAAACATTATACCAAACTTCTGTATGGCCTGCTCCCCCCAAGACTAAACCAATTGTGTTAGATACATTAGAAAATTAACTTTCAGAAAAGTTCAAGGCATCTATTGTTCCCCCACGTTCCCAAATTCTTATACGTTTACATTTCTTGGTCATGTTTATTTTGTCAGTGTCATAGCATTCTTAAACCCAAATTAATTTATGTGTGTTAGGGAGATCATCTCTCATCCTCAACTTGTGTTTTGCAAATATCTGACAGCCAGTGACAGGAAATAATTGTCACTTGCATGTAGACTAAACTATTAAGCTTATAAACATGGGTAGCAATGACTTAAGTAAGCCTGTAGTTAGGTGATGGACAATTTGTGCATTTATGTATTTTTAGAAAGAAGTAAATGAGTTTTAAAAACACTGACCTTACGGGTACTATAGAGCAGTTTTACAATAAAAGTTTACAGCAGAAGTACTGAAATCCTTCACCTTTTTCTTTCAAGGGCTTAGCTCCATCCTCCAAAACTGCTTTGTGCTTAAAGAATGACTTTAGTTCTATAAACTTTGGTGGTTACTCTTAGAATTTATTCTACAAAAAACTCAACATTCAATATCAGACATATAATCTAAAAAATCACTGTACTATAATACTTTTTTTTTTCTGTTAGATGCACTGTTTAACATTTGTTTTAATAGGGAATAGTGAAAGAGATTCCAGAAGTCAGAAAATATTTCATCCTACCTCTCCACTGAGGTTGCAACCCCTGGCCACCACTCTTCACTGGGGTTGCAACCCCTGGCCACCTGCAGTGATCGCAAAACATTCTGTCCTTCTTGTTTTAAAGTACCAGGAGTTTGTCTCTCCACTCTGTTGGATGAGTAAGTACTTCTGGTAACCTGGATTTCTTTTTTTGGCACTTTGGGTCTTCTCACCTGATCGTCTATTGTTTTTGATCCAAAGCATGTCTGACATACAGTACAGTGTTCTGAATGCCTCTGCAAGTGGGGACACCTGACTTAAACCCCTCAGTACTGATTCATAAGCCCAAACTGGTCCCAAGAGCTGACAATTACAGACAAAGAAAATGGTGTTGGTCCCAAGCGGCTGGTCCCAAAAGCTAATACTTTGCTGCAGCCAAGACTAACATCTGCAGTAGTCTATAGACTGTGGCTACCTTACTTGGCCCTATAGAAATATACACAGATTCTGAGATCTGAGATGCTGACTCCCTTTCTTTGCTGGAAGACAAGACCCCACAAAATGAGTTCCAGCCCTCAGGGTCCAAATGGAAAGACCAGATGCGATTTCTCCTGTGCTCAAGGACCCAGGCCAGTGGCGAGTAGATGGGACCAAAACCAGAAAAAAGTGACCACCAGTGCATACAAGGTTGTGCAGCTTCAAACAAGGCTGGGGAAGCCCGACTAATACTGCAAAGTGAAACAAAAATGAGAAGCGCACCAACCTTGCGCATTACCTCAGCAACCAAATTTTATTAATTAAAGAATGGTACTCACAAACACCAAATAAAATCAGGCATGTATTCCTCAAAGGGATTTCAGAGATAAGGAGCCAGCGTGAATCCCATCATGGGGGTAGACACTCAGTACAGCTGACGCATTTTGAAGGCCATGCCTTCTTTATTGAGGACTACATGCCTGATTTTATTCGCTGTTTGTGAGTACCATTCTTTAATTAATAAAATTTGGTTGCTGAGGTAATGCGCAAGGTTGGTGCGCTTCTCATTTTTGTTTCACTTTCCAAATGGAAAGAAACATATTTGTTTCTGTTAAATGCATTTCGTTCCGCCTAGAGGTGAGAAGACACTGCCACTCCCTTCTCTAGCATAGTGTCTGGTTTCTACTCCAGTATATTAAAAACACATTGGCTTTACTTTGTAAAAACCATGGCTGGCTGGTCATAGTCTTGAAAAAAAAGATTTCATCACTGTTGCAGTCAATCACTAGATTAAAGTATGTGTGATGCAAAATGATTTAACTTATATTTCCGTGTTATCGGCTTACTGTGGGCTTAGTGATTTATCTCCTGCATGGGTCTTATGTCCATACACCTGCTTAGGACATCTTGTTGGTGGGCTATAGATTCTACAGGTAAGAAGTGGTTGGTCCATGTGCCTTTTGAGGGACAGCATCTCTTTGGATCTACTCCTATATCATTTTAAGAATGTTGCTGGTGGCCCTCGTGTTACTCAGCAAAAGGAGCCAGGAATCAGACTGTCTTTACCTTCTTTAACTATTCAGACAACCTTTCCATTACTCCACTCCTGCCCCTTTTACATTGAAACTCCACAACCTTGGCTCTAGTCCACCCACAAGTTTCTAGCAATCAAAGTCTGCCCAAATCCACAAAAATTTACCCCTACTTTCCAGAGTGGGTGGGCATTGTTAACCCTTGCAAACAACACGTGCATGGCTTTTCAACATCTCAGGTGCCTAAGTGCAAGTGGTGGTATCTCAGGACTACAAACTGAAGTTCCATATCCTGATGCCTCCTTGACTTCTTGTCTCGAACCTTTTTATGTCATGACACAAATTAGCAGATATCCTTCGAGCTCTCTTTGGTCTTCTGTACTAAAGTGTCCATGCCCCAATTCCTGTGGCAAACACAGTTTCTAGCTTTTTTCAAACCTCTTTCCTATACCAAGTGGAGGTATTTGCCCCATTTTGGAGCTGTAAACTCTGAATGCCTTCATTCTAATGCAGAAATGTTGGTGAGAATCTACCATACCTGGTTGGTTTTCCATTATCTGTATTAGAGAAGACTTTCTGACTCCCATGGATATAAAAGCCATGTAGGGACAGAGCATCAGCATTTTCTATGCTTTGCTGTGTGACTGCTACACTACCAGATCAGGATCCTGCTTGCCTTTGAATTCAGGGCCCTGCACATCTCAGGTGTTCACCAAGGTTCAGACATTAGATGGATCCTGCTCCTTCAAAAACATTGCTAGAATTAACAGATAAGCGTACAGTGTCCAGGACCACTTGGAAGAGGTTTGCTTTAAGGTAACTGTACACTGTGCCTGAACACAGAAATATCTATAGATGACTGAGTACAGATGCAGGGATCATTGTGGTCTGGTTGGCAGAGGTGTTGATTTAACCACTTCCATACAGGGCACTTTTACCCCCTTCTTGCCCAGGCCAATTTTCAGGTTTTTCTGCGCTCTCACACTTTGAATGACAATTGTGTGGTCACACAACACTGTACCAAAACTAAAATTTTATCATTCTCTTCACACAACTAGAGCTTTCTTTTGATGGTATTTAATCACCACTGGGGTTTTTATTTTTGCTAAATTAACAAAAAAAAAAAAAAACACGTGTTTTCTGTTATAAAAGTTTGCAAATAAATAATTGCTCTTCATAAATTTAGGCCGAGATGTATTCTACTACATGTCTTTGGTGAAAATAACCCAAATCAGTATTTATTATTTAGTCTGTAGGAAACTTATAGAGTTCACAAACTATAGGATATATCTGAAAATTGATCAATCCTGAAGCACTGACAGCCACTGTCAGAACAGTACAGATATCCCCCAAATGACCCCTTTTTTGCAAAGTAGACAGTCCGACGTACTTCATAACATGGTAACATAGCATGGGGAGTTTTTTAAAGTTGTAATTTTTTGTCACAATTTTTCGGAATATAAAGAGTTTTTTTTATTTTTTTATTTTTTTACATACTGTCACCAGTGCAGTACAGCATCATCATATAACGGGCATGGCGGTGATCAGGGACACTGACTGGTGACAGTATGAAAAAAAAAATGATAATTTTGTTTTCAATTTTTTTTTCAATTTATTTATTATTTTTAATATTTTATTAATTTTTTTCTCTTTTTTTAAGATTTTCTTTTCATATTACACTATGACCAAAGTAGTATAATGTTACCATAGTAACATTGTACTACTTTGGGGAAGTGATCAGTATTTTTTTTTTTTACACAATTTGCTTATAGCAAAGAATAACTTCGCTATAAGCAAGCATTTATCTGAATGAAATTTATTAATTCAGGGGTTTTTTCTTGTGATTAGCTGTGATTTGGCCACGGCTAATCACATGACACAGGTGGGCTTGTGCATGTGATCGCTGTGACCATTCACAGCTAGACACACTTGTATGCAATGGATGGCATGAAAGGAAGTCATCCATTGTATACAACTGTCATGTGACCTGCTGTGATTGGTCACAGCAGGTCACATGATACTGGCAACAGGGCCAGTACACAGACAGATCTCGCTACAGCGCGGCCCTGTGAGTTCCGGAAAGGATGCCATATGGCTATAGGATGAGCTGTTCGCCCACGGCCGCCATCTGGTTATAGGCCGCAACTGGTTAAAGCTGGGTACACACCGGCCCAAAAATGTATATAGTTTTTCGTTTGACAGGGGCCAGTCTTGTTTCTTCATTTTAAAACCTACATTTATGAGTGCTGTGCTATTTGTTCAGGTAGTAGTCAGTCTAAGGACTGTGGTGTGAAATATGGCTGTCAGTCCAGGTGAGGTGCTAATGGTCTATGTTCTGTAGATGATGGAGCGTCCATGATTTGTGGAACACTTTTAAATGTTTCCTGATCTATTAAGTGCCTTATGGCTCTGCTCAACATCTCCTGCAACAGTTTCTCCTTAAATTTCTCTTGCTGAATTTAGCCACAAATTTTCAGTGGTGAAAAGAAAAAGGAAAATTAGGAAAAAATTATCACAATTTGTAAATTTTGGGGCTGGTTCTGCCCCCCTCTAACTCTGCTGCCTTAGACACGGACATTAATATAGAATATACCTGCCAGAAATAAAAGTTTTTGTTTTTCAAAGAGTCATATATTGGGGTTAATTTACTTCAAAGAAAAGCTATTAACTTAGTACATTTAAATAAGATGAAGCTGAGTTCACACTGAATACCCAATTTTAGAGGATTTTTAGGGAGTTTTAAAAAAACAGAATGTTTGTTTGCACTTGAGTGAGGTGAAGGTGTGTTTAAACCATTTGA